CGCGTTTGCGAGCCAAGACCTCAGTAGCAGGTCCGTCATCAGGCACGAAGTGCCGACCAAACGCCGCATCCTCAAGAGGCATTGAGCGCTGAGCAATGATGTCCGCGAGATACCAGATGAAGCGGAGGGTGTCAGGATGCAGGGTACCGTCCGTCGAGATGGCAAGAGGGATGAACGCTCGAGGAGGAGTAGTCATGGCATATGCAGCGCGATGTTTGCGAATCTTCTCAGACGCTGCAACATGGAGGGCGTCGAGGTTGACCTCCCCCCACTTGGTCAGGTCGGCAGAGCTACCAATGTAAGGGTGGACCAACGTCACGTCCGCCATCAAGCCCTCGTACTGCTCGGGCCCTCGATCGCGGATTCCAGGAATGTGGATATCGCCCTTCATCTTGCGGCCATGAGGATGGGAGGGTACCTGCCGTCGAGAACGAGGATCCCCCACTGTATCGATGACGCTCTGAAGACCAGCTTCGTTCAGCATCGACCGAATCGTACGAGTAAGGTTGTCATGCGCCGTGGGAAGCTTGGAGGATCGGCGTTTGCAGGTCTGGAGATGATGTGCAGCAACGGAGGGGTCGAGCTCGCGCTGACATCCATCACATTCCGTCGGACACTGGCAGATCGGCATGCCATGGAGATAGCAGTCGAGCATCTGAGCATAGCGGTGCGGGAAGGCCTTGAGGGGGTAGTAGCTCGAGACTCGCATCGGAGAGTGGCTCAGGTCACGCTCAGGAAAATGAGCGAAGATGGTAGACTGCAAGACCCTATCCTGCGACTTGAGCGAGTGTGTCCTGCGGCTGTGCAAGGTGAGGATATCACGCTGCTGATCGGTCAGCGCAGCGCGAGCATGCACATGGCGAGGGAAGACGCGCATGACAAGAGGGGTCACATTTCGCTGCGCAGGCGGCGGAATGAAGTGCTCATGAGACGAGTCGACGAGAGCGCGCAAACCAGGGATGTGTACCACAGATGCCGGGGGGCGGCCTGCGTCATCAGGCATAGCAGCCGGGGCAGGTGGGATCGCCGCGCCATCTGCAGCCGGTGCAGGAGCCTTGACACGACGGTAGAGGATCGCTCTTTCATTATGAACGAAGTCGTGCGCCTCAACGAAGAAGGTCGCCAGAGGATGTTGGTCAGTCGGCTGCCTCCGGGTATCGCGTCTAAGGGATTTTATTCCTCCTGCATGCTCCTGCTGCTTGTTGCTTGATTGCTTGAGTAAATCCTGTACTCCCGCTTGACCCTTCGGCTGCTTGTCTGCGCGGCTTCGCGCTTGGGCTGGCGGTGCCGGCAGTGCTGGTTCTTTTCGGGCTTGTGTTTTGTGTACGATTGGCAGGTAATGGATTGTGCAGCTTCTCGCTGTGCGCTGTGTGCCTGGAGGTTTAGCTTGTTCCTGCTTTGTTTTGCTTGAGGCACTTTTTACCTTCTGCCAGTAAATCCGCCTTCTACCCGGAGGCATCCGACTGACCACTGTCAGTCGAGACGTCCGCCGCCGCCGCAAAGCTTGCGGTCGCGGACGGAGAAAGAGCTGAGCCGCCGACAAGGAGCCGGCGCTGCCCGGGGGTCCGCCGGGGGCAGCGGACAGAGGGAGGCTGGGCACAGGAGCACGGTACCGCTCGAGGTGACGCATCAAGTCCTCCTCGCTAGCCTCCGAGTCAGCGGTAGCCGAGACCAACACCACCCGTGACGGCGGCGACGCTGCATCAATGGCCCAAGGGACCGGGCTGTGCGGCATCGGAGGCAGGCGAGCTCGGACCAGCAGCAAGCACCCCAGTGGTGTCGAGCTCTCCGGAGGCATCCGACGTCACAGTGGGCGCGTCGGCTCCACTCTGGATGTTTCCCCCATCGGAGTCGGAGACCTCCGGCGAAGACTCCTCGGGCGACTCGACAAAGTCCGAGGAGGAGCTGTCCTCTGGCTCGAGAAGTGCTTGCACCCGCAAGGGCGTCATGCGCCTCGCACCAGACAGGAGCTGACGTCTGATGCCTCCGGAGAGCTCGACACCACTGGGGTGCTTGCTGCTGGTCCGAGCTCGCCTGCTTGCTCCCCCCCGACGGGGTCCTTGGGCACTCAGTGACTGCTGCAGCGTCGTCGCAGTCAATAGCGGTCTCGGTCTTGGCTGGCCGCTGAGGACAGTGAGGAGGACTGTTTGCATCACTTGGAGCGGTACCGTCGGCTTGCGCCCGGCCTCCATGTGTCAGCGGCCTCTGCGGTGGCGGACGCGTCGACTGACAGTGACAGCGGTCAGTCGGACGGGCCTCCGGGTATCGTGTATGTATGAGGGCGTTCACGTCCCCTGCTGTGCCGGTATCACGGTGCTTGTTCAACGGTTGCTTGCCCCTCTCTGCTACACGATGTCTGAGTTTTACTCGCATAAGGTAAAAAGTGCCTCAAGCAGAAGAAACAAGCAACAAGCAAAACGGCGGCGTCAGGCATAGAGCACACAGCAACAAAAGCGCTTGTCTACGTGGCTTCCCGCGTGGCGGCTGGCAGTGACGGTGTAGGGTCTGGTTGCCAGCAGTGCTGGTTACTTTCGGTCTTATATTTCATGTGTTTGAGCCGCGTTTGTTGCTACCGCTTGAAGTGCCGGGGCGGCGTCGCCGGGGAGAATCGGCGGCCTTCCCGCTTGCCACTGACTAGCCTCATCGGGCCGCCGGGCCACGGACGGGCAGCCGGGCCACATTCTAATCCTGACTGGTACCCTCTGCTGATTTCATCTCAGGTATATAGCAGACATTACATCTGATCCCCGCTTTGGCGGGGCTGAGTCGACCTGCCCGGGTTGCCACCGTGACGGGTGGCACTCAGGGGCACCGGGCACGGTAGCTTGCCTTGAAACGCGCAGCTATTGATCCGATGATCAGCGTCGAGTCTAGTACTGAACTTTCAATACTTCTGCTCAGTAACCTCCGAATTGCCAACTGGTATCCACGGGTGTATGCCCGGCGATCTCAGTCGGTCACTGACCGGGCCCCGGCCCGGCCGCTGCGAGTCGGACAGTCGAACTAACGGAAGTTGATTGATCCCCCCGGGCAGTGCCGCCACTAAGCGAGCTCGCCTCAGAGCTCTCAGTCAGCTTGCAGAACACCTAGCCTACCACCCTGTAGAAAATGACCCCTACCCCCCCAAAAGTATCTAATTCCAACAAAGTGCAGGATCGTACCTACTTGAAACGCTGTTTCCTACCGAATCATGATCATGCTGATAGTACCGGTAGTATTACTACCCCATCAAATGTACCCACCCCCCGTGGTAGAAACCTCAGACATCTCTTGTCTCAGTCCTCCCGCCCTCCTCGATCCTCCCCCTGCCTCCCCTTCTCATCCTCCCCGCCCCCACCCATGCCTCCTGCTCCCCACCCCATGCCTCCTGCTCCTCCTCCTCTTCCTCCTGCTGCTCCTGCTGCTCCTGCTGCTCCTACTGCAGCTGCTGCTCCTGCTGCTCCTGCTGCTGCTCCTGCTGCTGCTCCTGCTGCTCCTGCTGCTGCTCCTGCTGCTCCTGCTGCTCCTGCTCCTGCTCCTGCTGCTCCTTCTTCTACTGCTCCAGCTCCTGCTCCTGCTGCTCCTGCTGCTCCTGCTTCTGTCCTGCTGATGTCGCTGTTGCTGTTGTCCTCCTCGTTCTCATCGCCCTCTTCCTTCGCCTTCCCTTCCCTCTCCTCATCCTTATACTCGTTTTCATTGTTTTCTCCTTGTTCCCACCCCTATGTCAAATTTCCCTCCTCCTCTTTTCCCTCCTCTCTCTTTCCCTCCTCCAGTCTCCCAGATCATTCACTCCGTCATGTTCCCCCTCCCCTTCCTCACCTCAACTGTCTCCCATCCTTTATCTTGTCTCCTGGACCTCCTTACCTCCTCTTTGTCACCTACCCGCTCCCCTTGTGATCCCGCTCCTCTGCCTTGGGCCCCAAACTCTTGCCTAACCTTTCCTGCTCCTGCTCCTGCTCCTGCTCCTGCTCCCTTTCATTGACCTTATCCTTCCTCTTCCGCATCGTTTTCCTCCCCAAATGTTCCCTTTCACCCCCGTTCTCCTTTACATTTCCTCCGATGTGGTCACCTTGTCCTGTTTCCTGCACTCCCTGAATTATCGCTGTACCGCTTCTCCTACAAGTTCCCCATCCCCTCATTCTTGTCTCTCTCTTGCTTCTTCCGTCTTCTTCCAAAAGGGCGTTCTTGCACCTCTTTCCTTCCTGCTGCTGATTCTACAGCAACTCGTCCTTTTGATACTCTCTACTTCCCTCGCCTTCTTCATCTTGCTCCCTCCTGACCTCTTGCTCCCTCCTGACCTCTCCTCCATGAGGAGTAGGACGAAGAAGATCGGCGTCCAACTCTCCTTCCAAATCTTTCTGTTGCTTCTTTCCGACGTCTCACCATCTGCTGTCTTCCCCATCTTCGCCTCTTACACGATTTGTGCTCACTGCTTTGATTGCAAGGTCTTGTCCGCTCATTAGCCCGCCGCTCTCATGCTGGTCTGCTATCCACTCATGCGCAGTTATCTTGTGCTTGGCTGTCCAAGATCCTCCATACCAGGCGTGTAGAGGCGTGTGGTCTCATACTTGCACAAAAAATGTGCAGCTTCTGATTTTGGCTCTCCCTGGAAGAGCCTCGACCAGACATGCCTGTGCGCAACATCAAGAAGCAAGATAAGATCGTCTCTCAGCAGAGAATCGAGACCTCACCACAAGAATTTCTCAAGGACGACGAAGCCAAGGAGTGCAATGACGTCAGCTTAGACGGATGCAAGCATGAGAAGGAGCCACAAGGATGTGACGATGAAAGTGTCATCTGTGAAGGAGGCCTCGAAAATTTCATTTGGCTCCCAGTAAAGGGAATGACACTGCTAGAAGAGCAGGTAATGCTCGTTTTTCGGTCTGTGTTTTTCTTCCGTTCCTTTCCGTTACCCCATTTGGGTCGATGACTCCTGGCAGGAACTTCCCTTGCTTGCAACCAGCCCGATCAGCTACGTCAAACTTCGGAATCACATCTTGTCTACGTAAGCACTTGTGACCTGTATCCATGGTTCAGCTTCACCTAGGTGGCATAAGAATCCGTCGCAAGAGCTCACACACGAGGCTGCAGCTCTCGATGCTCCGATAGTGTTCCACAGGCGAGAAGCTCAAGCAGAGGTGAAGCGTCTGACGTTTGTCGAGTACCTAATGCTTTGCAGGCCATCCGTCTGATCCACGAGTTCTTGTCTTGCCATGGACATATTAATGTCGGCGTGTTCGCACCGAAGACGCCGACATTGATGTCGAACTCTAGCACAGCCACGGCAGGCAGCGAAGATGGAGGGGCAGGAGTGGAAGGGGGAAAGGGAGAAGCGTATGATGTGATCGTGGTTGGAGGAGGAATCGCAGGTGGCGAAGCGGGAGAAAGGAGAGAAACGTTTTGCTCTTGACCTCATGCACATGGCAGGTTTGGCAGCAGCAAGTCAGCTGAAGAGAAGAGGACACAAGGTGAGGTCAAGGTCGATGGTCTGGCTGGAAGAAAGTGACTCCCTGCAGGTTGTGGTCTTGGAGGCTCAGAGCTTCATCGGGGGTCGAGCACGAGCAGGAGGCTGGAACAACCGAGACGAGTTCTTGACCTCCAGGCAGAAAAGCCTCAAGAAGAAGAAGACAGCCGAACCCCCGGCGGTGAAGCTCCAAGAAATGAGAGACAGCAGAAGTGACTCTCATCGCTTCCAGGACCACAGGCCTCACGAGGAAGGCACTGACGGAGGAGCTTCGACTGCCTTGGACTTTGGAGCGATGATTATCACAGGGATATGGGGTAACCCGATAGCGATGCTGTGCAGGTAAGAGCGCTGGAGCCTGCTCAAGCTGACCCTGCAAAAGGCAACTAGGCATCAAGATGCAGCAGATTAAGAACGCCTGCCCTCTCCTCGATGCTGAGCCGGTCCTCTTCTCCTCCACTCTCCTTCTATTCCCTCCTTCTCTCTCTCCTCCTCTTGTCCTGTTTCATTCCTTTTCGCCTCATCATCGGGGTTCCCAACCCCTTCTCCGCTGCATTTTGCTGATGTGCTAACAGCAAGGAAGCTTCAAGGACGTGTCCTGTAGGAAGCTTTCTCCTCCTGAGGTACAGCCTGACGAACGTAACAAGTTGTGCTCGTTATCCATGACAAGTCTCCGGAACCTCAACAGGGAGCATTGCTGCATCATTCCATCCCCAAGGACGTCGACAACAAGATTCAAGTATGATGCTCAGAGTAGCAGCAGCAGCAGGAGGTGCACTGCTTTCCTCACCCTTTGGCAGTCAATCTTCAATAAGGCTCTCACCGCAGCTTGCAATAAGAGGAAGCATCTAGCTGACGATCAGGTGAGATCATGATGCAGATGGCAGGACGAGAGAGCAGAGGATAACGGCATGGAATAGGACTTGTCATTGGGAGAAGAGCTCTTGAGAGTGCTTCACAACTACAAGTTCTCTCAAGTCGAGACTCGAGTCTTAAACTGGCACATTGCCAACCTCGAGTATGGATGTGGAGCTCCTCTTGACGAGGTTGACTTGCCCTGACCCCTCATCATCCTCACCATCCTCACCCCTCGTCCTCTTCTTCATCTTCCTCACCCTCGTCCTCTTGTTGCTCACCATCAGTCCTCTTGCAGGTTTCTCTTCGTTTCTGGGATCAAGACGACGCGTTTGGCTTCGGCGGGCCGCACTGTCTCATCCCGGGGGGTTACCAGCGCATCGCCGAGGAGCTCGCGAAGGAGGTGGAGGAGATCAGACTGAACGCGGAGGTGGCACGGGTGCGATGGACGGGACGAGGAGGCGAGAAGAAGCGGAAGGAGGAGGGAGAGGAGACGCAGGAGCTTTCACCTCCTTCTGCCGAGAGCAAAATCGAGTCCCTCCTGTGCGTGGGGGCGTTTGTTGGGAAACTGAATGCAGGGACGCAGGAAGTGAGGGCGATGGAGAGCGTGAGGACGAAACACAAAGTACCCGAGGGGTGGAGAATCTTCTCGACGATGAAGAGAGTCTCTACCTCCTGCTTCTCCTTGTCAGGGGGCGGAGGAATCGACTGCGACGTTGTGTTTCAAACCGAAAGGGGGGTGAAGCTGCGCAGCATCGGAGACGCGAAGAGAGAGATCAAACGAATGCGATCGGGCAGCTGGGAGGAGGAGAAGCAGCAGGAGGCTCTACATGACGTCAACAAGGTGCTGCGAGACATGTGCCGGCTGGAGGCCGAAGATGGGCAAAGAAGAGAATGCGAGAGACAGATCCTCCAATCTCTTGGGCTGAGTTACGAGGAAGAGGACGAGGAAGAGGACGAGGATGACGAGGAGGAGGCAGAGACTACGTCTGAAGTGTCAGATAGGGCAGGAGAGTGGGAAGAAGGGATGGAAGTAGAGATGTACTTCAGTGATGGCATGTGGTATCGGGGACGCGTGACGTCATTGGAGGACAAGGTAGCAGTGATCGACTTTGAGGATGGTGACAGGCAGACGGTCAGACTGCCAGACCCGGACGTGCGTCCCGTGAGAGCTCTTGGGTCGTCGTACATGCAAAGCAAGGAGGAGGAGAAGGAGACTGAGGAGGAGGAGAAGATGAAATGCGGCTCCCATTGGAAGAGAAAAGGAGAAGGAGAACGTAGGAAAAACTCTCAGGGTGAGCAGAAGAGGCCGAGGAGGAGCGCAGTGGACCAGCAGCTGCAGGTCGGGGATGAGGCAGAAGTTCTTTTCAGCGATGGCGTCTGGTATCGGGGACGAGTGACAGCAAGAAAGGAGAACCTCATCCATGTCGCTTTTGCCGATGGCGACCGGCAGAGTTTCCTCCTCCCAGACCCAGATGTCCGCCCTGCTACTGCTCCCTCTGCCTCCGACATGTCCTCTCCATCCACTGACGACAGAAGTGTGCAAACAACCCTGAAGGATGATGAGGAGAGCGAGAAGGTGGAGAACATGGATAGGGAGGACAAGCAGGACAAAGAGGAGAGCGAGAGCGAAGAGAAAAGGGAGAAGGAGAACGAGAAAAGCGAGAAATCGAATAGCGTGGAAGCTTCAACGTCGCTGAACGACATGGATATTGGGAGTGCGGGACAGTCTACTTTGGGAAGAGGGAGCAAGCTCAAGTACCACGTTGGCATGCAAGTTGAGATGGTTCGCTATGTAGTCTTTTCCTACCTTCTGCCTTCTTGCCCCTTCCCCCTACACCCCTCCCTCCCCTTCTCTCTCTCACAATTGTTTCAGTTCTTCGATGATGGTGTCTGGTATCGAGGGCGCGTTGCCTCGCTGTTGCAGGACGTTGCGACAGTTTTCTTCGAAGACGGCGACGTGCAGCAAGTGTCACTCCCTCACCCTGACGTGCGTCCCGCTCGACCTCCTCCTCCTGTCCGCGTGCACACAAGGGACGGGCAGACGTTGAGAAGCAGAGCAGTGCTGCTCTGCGTTCCCATGGGAGTGATCCAACAGGGAGCAATGAAGTTCGAGCCTTCTCTCCCTTCCTGGAAGCATGAAGCCATTCGGCGGTCTCTCCCTCATATCTACTTGTTGCACTCCTTCCAAGTCCTCTACTTCTCTCTCTGCCCCTCTTCCTCCTCCCCTACTGCTCCTCCTCCTCCTCCTCCTCCTCCTCCTCCTCCTCCTCCTCCTCCTGTTTCTTACCTTATCTTATCGTCTCTGCAGTGCTGGCAATGGACTCATCAACAAGCTCACGATTGAGTATCGAGGTCGCCCGCCACTCCCTCGTCTGCCCTCACTCGTTCCTTCAGAAGTTTTCTGGGACCCTCAGGTGGATTTCTTCGGAACCACCTCCTCAGTAGTCGAGGTAGACGAACGCGAAGAGCAGCAAGGTCTGACGAGGCAGTAGGAGCGAGGAGCCTTCTTCCTGGTGTGGAGCCTCTTCCGCTTCACAGGTGACGAGACTTGACAGCAGACAGAGCGATGAAGAGCGAACATAGAGTGGGAGAGGATGAGAGGGGAGGGGAGGAGGGGAGGGGAGGGTTGGTGATCACGTACAGGTCGCCCTATCTTGATTGCAGTCTTGTCTGGAGCAGCAGCGAGGAAGTACGAGAGCCTTCCAGATGACACCGTAAGAACCTCAGCGATCGAGAGGACCTCGTTGCTGTCTGTCTTGCTGTCTGTCTTGCTGTCTGTCTTGCTGTCTGTCTTGCTGTCTGTCTTGCTGTCTGTCTTGCTGTCTGTGGCTGCTTGGGCGTCTTATCCTCTCATCTTCCTTCAGGTCGTCAGGAGGTTCCACGAGGCCATCACCAGCATCTTCGGTCACGTGCCACAACCCGAGAGGAGTCACGTTACGCGATGGGGAAGCAACCCTCATGCTCGCGGCGCCTACTCGTTCGTCAAGGCGAGTCACCTCCCCGCCTCCCCCCCTTCCCCCGCTCATGTGCAGGTCATGCAGGTCGGCAGCAAGGGAGGGCCAGACTACGATCTGTTGGCAGAGCCCGTCGCAGGGCAGGTGGAGCATCTCAGTTGCGAGGGAGAGCGAGTGAGGAAGATGGCAGGTGTTCTTCGCGGGAGAGGGGACGTGCCGCGAGCATCCGGCAACGGCAGCAGGAGCGTACTTGACGGGGCTGCGAGAGGCAGGTGATCGCTTGAGCTGCCTGAGTTTGAGCTGGTGGCTGACGAGCTGTAGCTCGCTTGCATCGCCTGCTGTCGGAGATGAAGGGCGAGGCGAGGGATGACAGATGAAGAAGAGAGAAGAGAAATGGTGCGAAGAATTCATGTACATGAAAGAATTTGCAACCTAAAGGCGGCGATGAGCATGAGGTTGGCGAGAAGGAGCAGCATGAGAAGGAGGCGGTTGAGGGCAGGAAGCGCTACCAACGCCCAAGAAGGGCCGCAAAAACGACCTGAGTTAGTATCAGTTCTCGTCATGATGAGCAGTGAAGTCACGTAGAGCAGAAGGAGCAGGAGAATGATTGGAACCAACCAGACATCTGCGAATATCAAGATCTGACGGAAGAAACAGTTGAGTTGCAATCAGTCCGTCGTCATGTCAAATTACCAGAGAAGCAACGAAAGGGAAGCATCTCATACAGTTTGAAAGTAAAGCATCAAAAACATACAAAAATATCTCACAAGTTCCCGCATGTCACAACAAAGTTCCATCATTTGCAGTCAATAAGAACATGTACAAACTCATCTTTCACTTTACCGATCTCACTAGACTTGACGTTCCGTCGTCCACCTCCGCCTCTTCCTGCACTCACTGTCACCTCCTTTCACCATTGCTCGCGCTCTTGCCGAGGTGTTCGCGGGCTTGGCGTAGGTAGAGGAGGAGAGAGAGTTGTGGAGGTTGAGGGGGGGAGTGACGTGGGTCTCATGCTGTTTCTGAGTCACTCATGTCCAACTACCGTCACCTCTTCACCTGCCGCTTCACTTCATGGTGATCTTCCTTTGCCGAGCGATGACGGATGCCGTCTCTGCTTGCATCACATGCTGTCAGCTAGACACCTTCACACCCATTGAATGGTCGAGCCCTCTCTCAAGCTCCAGCTCCCTCCCAGCTATGCTCTAAGATCCTTGACCTCACATCTAGTGAGTCAGCTTTGCTCTCTCCTTCCACAGTTCGCTCGCCTCCCCGTTTGCTTGAGGAATGTCAACAAGAATGTCCCAGACATTAATCCATCAGCTTTCGCTCTCCATTGGATTTGGATGATCATATATCGCCATGTGCATTTGAAAAACTTCCTGATCATGTTCACCGTTTTCTGTTGCCTTCTGTTCTCTCTTGTGTTCTCTCGTGTCTTATGTTTTGTCTTGTCTTCTCTCTTCTCTTCTCTTCTCTTCTCTCTTCTCTCTTGTCCTGTCTTGTGTTGTGTTGTGTTGTGTTGTCTTCTCTTCTCTCTCACCTCACTTCCATGCCCTCCAGCTTCGCTTGTTCCCTCGCCCCTGCCATGGCCGGCACCAAAAGAGGTATCTGGAAAACGATCACAGAATCTGAAGGACCGGTTCTTTTACTGGAAATCTGGGGGGTACTGTCAATGATCATAGTGGGGGACGAAGCGGTTACAATGCAACGGTTACATGCAACAGGATCAGTCAACTGAAACTGACAAGTGATGAAAGGTCCGCCTCAGAGCAAACACGCCGTTGAAATGAACGAAGATACAATGAACGGAGCTGGAGGAGAGGAGAGGAGAGGAGAGGAGAGGAGAGGAGAGGAGAGGAGAGGGAGAGGAGAGGAGAGGAGAGGAGAGGAGAGGAGAGGAGAGGAGAGGAGAGGAGAGGAGAGGAGGGAAGGGAAGGGAAGGGAAGGGAAGTTGACTGGAGGAGAAGGGAAGGGAAGTTGACTGGCGTTCATCAGCTTGGAGAGGTCGACTGGAAGATGGGAAGCAGCGACAGAATGGTGAGCTCATCTGTTACTACCTCACGAGTCTGACGGTGAGGGCAGGTAGCAAGTGACGCCCGTCAAGGGAGGAGGCGAGAGGATGCAGAGGATCGCAGGTTTCTCCTTGTCCTCCTTGTCCTCCTCCTCACCCAGACCCAGCAGATTGCGAGAAACTCCAGCTGACGTCCTGCTAACGAACATGAAGGACGCTCATGCACTTGTCGGCTCGGGACATGTCACGAGGATGCGGAAGCTCTCGCAGGTGAGGAGGAGGAGGCGTGATGGACTCACACCTTGATGTGTGCGTGTGTTGGGAGGGAGGGGGGAAGCAGGAGCACTGCTCGTCTCCTCACTGCTCGTCTCCTCACTGCTCGTCTCCTCACATGCTGCAGCTCCGGACCATCTACTCGCCCCTTGAGCCGCGTCCTCTTGCTCGCAGCCTCCGTCCTCACTCAGGTGCTGCCGGGAGAGCCACAAGGCAGAGGATGACGTTGCACAGCCTCCTCGCTCGTGGAGAGACGCAGAACCGAGTGCGGGGCAGCAGAGAAGCGGCGGAAAGTCGCGAAGAAGCTTCCAAGGGAGCAGGGAAAGGAGCGAGGAAGGGAAGAGAAGAAGTGAGGCAGTTGGTTGACATGCGCGAGACTAAATCAGCCGAGCAGAAAGTCAGGCGAGAAGAAGACTCGAGCTGCGAGTCAACGACCCTCCATCGCTCAACTGATTGCTGACCTCCGCAGGGTAATGACAACGATGATGATGGAGATGATGGAGATGATGGAGATGATGATGATGATGATGGAGATGATGATGATGATGGAGATGATGATGATGATGATGATGATGATGATGATGATGATGGAGATGATGATGATGATGATGATGATGATGATGATGATGATGATGATGATGATGATGACGACGATGGAGATGATGATGATGATGGAGATGATTACATGTTGGATTCAAGCGTACGAGAGGATAGAGAGACTAACTTCATACTCAGAGTGCATTTGAGTGCGAGGAGGAGAAACGATATGAAGCAGAGAAGGAGGAAGAAGCAAGAAGGAGTATCAGAGGCGAAGGAGAAGCATCAAGGAGTGGCAGGGGTGTCGTCGAGTCAGCAACCAGGAGCACGCGAGGTTTCCTTGTGCTCCTGTCACGTCTGGTACTCAAACGCGTGGGACGCAGGCGGACGGGTGAAGAAGACGAAGACGCTGAGAGGAGGGCAGGAGGAGGAGGAGAATACTCTCGCGCGAACCTTGTCCTCTCTCTCCTCCTCCCTGCCTTGGCTGCATGAGGCGCCATGCCGAGCGGAGGCCTGGAGGGCAGAGGGAGGGGACGCGCTGCTGGACTGGAGGAGGCAGAGGGCGATGGCGGAACTTTCTGTGCTGCATGCTGGCGAGTCGAACGCTGTGCGGGAAATCCGAAGGAGACTAGAGAGGCGTGAGAATGAAGATGAGGAGAGGGAGAGGGAGAGGGAGAGGGAGAGGGAGATGGAGGAGGAGGAGGAGGAGGAGGTTAAACTCGTTAACGCCTCAACTCTGATGTCCACGCTGACGCTGCAGCCAGCACCTGTCAGGTTTGACTTGCTCTGCTCGTTTGCAGACTGACGGTGAGCAGACGACCGTTTGGATGGGGCCGAGGGGAAAAAGAGACGAACGAGGGCTCGGGAGGAGGAGGAGGAGGATGTTCAAGCATATGCATCGACGAGAAGGATCTGCTTGCTCGCTGCTTGGAAGAGAGTGTCGATCGTGTTCTATTCGGGGAAGAAACATTCCATCGCTTCTTCTCCTTCATGGACTAGATGCTGAAGTAGTGATCTCATGATGATGATGATGATGAGGATGATGATGAGGATGATAATGCAATCAAGGTGCTCACGCCTCCTCTTCCTCCAGCAGCACCTGCACTCACGTCATGCACTTTCCTTCCATCGCTTCTCCTACCTCAAGCGGGTATTGGATACACCCCAAGATCATGTCGACCAGATTGTCTGTTAGCTGAAGGAAAGAAAAGAATGCAGGGAAGAGAACAGAAGAGGAGAGAAAGGAGATGGGAGGTAAGGGGGAGGAGATCAGAGCGTGCGGGTCAGTTATGCAGCAAGGGAGGAGGTTGACGTCACCAGTCGCAGCTGACTGTCTCGTCCCAGTCGAGGATGCAGCCCCATCACGACGACCATCTTCACCTCTCCTGCTCTTCATGTCAGCTCGACCTCAGCTGGCAACTCAGACCCCGCGGCGACGGGGAGCGATTGGCGGCAGTGAGGGCAACACGCTCAGCTTCCTTGAGTGAGAGGGGGCGGGGGAGGGAGAGAAACTCCAGGCCCGTGTGCGCCTGCAGGAGACCCGTCCACGCGTCCAGGGGGCTGCAGCAGCGCGAGTGAGGAGTACCAGCATGATGATGATGAAGATGATGATGATGGTGATGATGATGATGGTGATGATGATGATGATGATGATGATGATGATGATGATGATGATGATGATGATGATGATGATGGAGATGATGATGATGATGATGATGATGGAGATGATGATGATGGTGGTGATGCTGATGATGATGATGATGATGATAATGAT